CCTGATGCTTCCCCAGGAAACACGCAGGGGTCACCTGCGTCTCGAGCTCGCCAGGGCTCCCCCCACCCCGGGCAAGGCTGCCACGGGCCAGGTCTCCGGCAGGGGGTGCTGCCGGGCTAGGGAAGCCCCCACCCCAGATCTGGGGGACACCCCCCCAGCCACGGATCCAAGTCAGATCACAAGGCTCAAATGGGACCCAGGCATCCGGCCGCCTGCGCGCGCCCCATGCTGAGGGGGCGAAGGGCCATGCCCAAGGCTGCTCCACCAGTCGGTGGCGGGGGGGGGACCCCCACCAACACACACTCACCTTGGAGAAGCTGAAGCTCCTGCTAAACCACCTCCAAGCCATAGCTGCTCTGATCCCCCCAGCCCCCCGATACCCACGGAGCAGGACCCTGCCAGCACCCGAGCTCCCGCCTCGACTGGCGCGTGGCAGGCGAGCGGGCGGACGTCCCCCCCTTCACCCAGTCCGCCCGCGGGGAAGTCAGGCAGGCATCAGCTGACGGGACCTTGTCATGGAGCCGCTCACGGGGCAGGGAGGGGCACAAAGGGCCTTTCACGGACCCAGGCCTGCCCCCCGGGTCTGGGGAAACTGAGGCAGGCCCCAAGCAACCTCCCTGCAGAGCCTCAGAGCATCCCCCACGTGCTGGAGAGGGCAGGATTGGACCCAGGGTGCCAGGCTGGGGAGGTCACATGGACACAGAATTGGGGCCAACCCCCCCCACCCAGTCTGGCCGTCCACCCTGTGTCCGTGCCAGTGCCAGGACTCAGCCCCACAGGGTCCTGGCTGGAGGCTCTTGCCCCTCACCCACTCTGTCTTGGAGGCGGGGGGGGACAGGCAGGGACCCCACCCCCAACGCAACCCCCATACTCACCGGGGCGTCTACATGCTTGGGGGTGCTGTCCCCGTTGGCCGTCTACAGGGAGACGGAGAGGAGCGGGGTAAAGCTCTGGGCTGGATGTGACCCTTCCCCTGCACCCCGAGACCCCCTGGCTCTGCAGGGACCGGCCCCAGGGAGCAGCGATTACCCCCCCACGCACACCCCCACCATCCCAGTCCAGCTCCAGCTGCAGAGGCTAACATCCCACTCGTGCTCATCTGCATATATGCAAATGAGCAGGGATATTTTCCCCCAGGACAAATAAGGGCCATAATGACCCTTAATGACCCCGCAGCGCAGAGGTTTTGGCTGCACAGGATTGACAGGCAGCTAATGAGGGTGATAACGAGGTCGTTAAGATGCAGGGGGGGGGTCTCGTTGGGGGGGTGCACACATGCACACACGCGTGCACATGCACACATACACAGGGAGGGCCCTCGGCAGGCAGGATCGTGGGAACCGTCCCAGGGCGGTGCTGGCCGCGTGCCACGGTGCTCAGCGCCAGGCCGGGGCCGCGCCCGGGGCTGTTTGCTGGGAACACAAACACACACAGCACCGCAACACACACGGGGGGACGCAGGGCGCCCCGCCACACACACACACACACACACACACACACACACACACACACACACAGCACCGTGGCATGGGGGCATGGTTTGCACAACATGCACACACCCAGCACCAAAAGCACCACAACACACACCCTGCCACACACACACAGAGCACCGCAACATGTATACACAGCTCACCACAATGTACACAAACCCAGCACCACAGAGACACAGAGCACCACAACACACACACGGGGTCTGCAAGGCACCACAACGCACCCTGCCACACACACTCACAGCACCGCAGCATATATACACAGCCCACCACTACATGGACACACCCAACACCGCGGATACAGAGCACCACAACGCACGCCCCGACACACACACTGCACTGCAACATGTACACACAGCCCACCACAACACACACCCAGCACAGCAGACACACAGCACCATAACACACACACAGCATACACAGTGCTGCAACATGTGTGTGGCGGAACATGTGTCGTGGTGCTCTGTGTCTCTGCAGTGCCGGGTGTGTGTATGTTGTGGTGGGCTGTGTGTACATGTTACGGTGTTGTGTGTAGGGGTGGGGGGCATGTGTTGTGGTATGTGCATACACAGTCCAACACAACATACACAAACCCAGCGCTGTGGAGACTCAGCACCACAACACACACCCCGCCACACAGCATCACAACATGTATACACAGCCCACAACATATGCACACTCGGCACCACAAATACACAGAGCACCACAACACTCGCCCTGCCACACACACGCGCAACCCCACAACATAGACACCCAGCACCATGTATACACAGCGCTGCAACACACGCCCCACCACACAGAGACATACACACCCCCACCACAACACTCACAGAGCCCACCACCCTGGATACACAGAGCACCACAACATCCCCCCCCCCCCCCCCCCCCCCCCCCCCGCCACATATGGACACAGCCATAACACAGGCACTGGACAACATGCCCCCCACCGCGCACACACGTCACTGCAGCATGCACCCTGGCATGGTGCCCACAGCCCCCAGACTCCTCAGTGGGACCCAGTGGCCCCCCACACCCAGCTGAGGACCACCCCGCCACCACCCCCAGAGGGGCTCAGGGCCCATGTGGGCACGTGGTGGGTGCACGGGTCCTAGCTGCAGTGCCCGTCACCCTGGTGTCTGGGCTCCAAAGCTTAGGGTGCTGGGGGCACGATACCCCCGGGGCCCAGCCAGGCTGGACCCGTGGCCGGGCCAGCCTCCCCACCCCCCGCGGCGCCTGTGCCAGCTGCAGTAACGGTCCCATGGGGCGGCGGCAGCTTTTCAGGGGAGATAAGTGCCCACGGCGTGCCTGGCACCTACCCCGGGGCCGGGAGATTAGCCACCGTTGGCTGTGGGTGGCTGGATAACTGATAGCAAACAGCCCCTCTGCTAGCGCCCTCCGCTAGCAGCCTTGGTCATGTCCCTTAGCCTCTCTAAGGGACATGACCAAGTGGAGGGAAGTGACACGCGCGTGCATACATGGAAGGGCACAGGCACTCAGAGCAGGGCAGAGGAGAGGCCTCCAACCCCACTGCCCAGGTAGGGAAACTGAGGTACAAACAGCAAAGCGACCTGCCCGAGGCCTCATTGGCCATCAGTAGTGGAGCAGGGACCTGGACCCAGGACCCCGCTCCCTGCCTGGGCCATAGGTAGGGGGACACCACCACCATGGGGGCAAGCGGGGGAGGAAGGAGAGATGCAAACAGACCCCCCCCCACCCCAGCCCCGTACCGTGGCCCTCACACCGCGCCCAGGCTCACTTACCGGCTCATGGGTGACGGGCGGCGAGCAAGGCGTGGCAGCCTAGGAGCAAACACGGAGAGGGCTGGCATTAGCAGTGCTGAGTCTGCCCTCGTCGGAGGCCCCCCCCCCGGCCGCCGCCCTGAGGGTCTCACCAGGGCGAAGGGGGAAAGAAGAGGAGCCTTCCTGACCCCTGGCCGCGAGGGGCCCAGGAGCATGCGGGTGCGGTTCACATCCCCGCCGGGCCGCAGCGGCAGGCAGGGACAGGGCCACAGACAGCCAGCCCCAAGCCAGCGGGCACACGAGCGTGGTCTGCCCCTAGCCACAGCTGGCCGACTCCCGGCCACAGCTGGCCAAGGCCAAACAGCACTCGGAGACGCCCCACGAGGATGTCTCGGACCCCCGGAGCCGGGGCCACAGCCAGGTCCCCAGCACCGGGGGGCCAAGACCTACCCCAGCTTCATTAGCTGCAGCTTGTTATCTGACAGCCCCCCCCCCTCCCCGAGCCGGGACTTTCTCCCTGGGTTTTTTTAATGCACTTTTAATGGAGAAACGCGACCATATAAGGCGGCTCGGCCTCCCCGCGGGGCTGGCGCGGGGCCACGGCGCGCCTGGAATGTGCCTCTCGTCGGCCGGAGGGGCTGGGACGCGGGTCCACGCACCCACCCCGGCCCCAGGGAGGGAGGCCCCGGCCGGGGGGGCTGGGAGTCACGCTGCGGGGGGTTGAGACCGGACACAGCTCGGGACAGGAGGGGGCAGCTCCTGTCTCAAGGTGTTGGGGGAGGGCAGGACCTGCAGCGCCCCCTAGTGGGGGCCGGCAAGGGGCGCTCCATGAGGTCACCGTGGTGATGTCATCAGGACGGGGCGATGACATCACAGCTTTCCCATGGAAGGAAACAGCCCACAGTGTCCCTGTCCAGGATTTGAACCCGGGGCCCAAGGCAGGAGGGGACCCTGTGGGCTTTGCAGCCCCCACCCCAGACTCTGCCCCCGCAGGTGGGCGGGAGTGGGGAGACCTGGGCATCCACCCCTTCCTCTGCCACAGGCTCACCAAGCGGCCTTAGGTGTGCCTCTTAGCCTCAGTTTGCCCCTTCTGTGAAATGGAAGGGGCCAGGATGGCGACTGCATGGGAGCACAGAGTGAGGGGAGCACAGAGATGCCCCAGCTGGGGGGACAAGGGGGGTCATCAATCCCGCAGCCTTCCTCCCCAGGGGAGAACCAGTTGGGTGCAGCAGCTCCCTCGGGCCAGCTAAGAGACAGGACCAGGGATGCAAGGCAGGGCAGTAGCAGAGCCCCCAGCTGCTCTGTCTCCGTCTGAACCCGCCCAGACAAACCCGTCTGTGACCTCGGAGCCGCACGACACTGTCGCCCCAACGCAGCCCCGGGCATCGCCCCCAACCCTGCCCCCGGGATACAGGGGGCTGTGGCCCAACGTCCTGCTGCTGCCAGAGGGGTTGGTGGGCACTGGGGAGAACCCAGGCCCAGGCCGTGCCCCGCTGTAGAAGGAGGGGAAACCCCCCCAGCTGGACCAAGCTGAGCAGGGGGCAAATCCGTGCCTGCCCCCCAAGGCACCGTGAGCGGGGGGCAAGAGCCTGCAGCCAGGAGCCTGCAGGGTTCAGCCGGGCGGTGCCAGGCAAACTCATGACTTGGGGCTCAGTCATGCGCCCGGGCTGGGCTGGGCTGGGCCAGGACCTCTCAGACAGGGATGGCGTGCTCTCTCCCCATGCCTCGGTTTCCCTCCCCGGCCACACCCATTGCGCAAGCTCCATGCAACCCCCACCCCGCACCTTCGGGGACCCCAGCTGTGCCTGCAGGAGCCCGAATCCCTTTGCAAGGCAGCCTCCAGCCTCAAGCAGGTCCCCTGAGGCAGGGGGCACTGGGGCATGGGAGCTGGCACCGGACCCGGCTCCAGGGCACCATGCAGAGAGGTCGCGGGCGCGCCGAACGGACCGCTGGGGACCCCAGCTCGCGGCTCACGCGGCCGGCGCACGAGGAGCGCAGGAAGGAAGGAAGGAAGGAAGGAAGCTGACAGGCTGTGGTGTGAGTCGGAGGGGCCGGGAAAGGCCCGGGCGGCACCAGGACCCCCCCTCCCACCTTGGCGCAGAGCCCCCCTGCAGGGGCAGGAGAAGCCCCCCAGCCCGGGGGTCCAGGGCCTGCATTGCCTCCAGCGCCTGCAGGGGCGAGACCCGGCAGCTGGGGCCAAGGCCACCCTGGGCATCCGGACCCTCAAGCCAACTCACAGGTCCCGCAGCTGCCCCCGCCCTGAGCCCGCAAGGGGTTGGCAGCAGGGGAAGAACCCGGGAGTCCGGGTCCGGATTAGGGGCTGCGATCAAGCCTGGACGCCGAGAGGGGAGCGCGGAGACCTGCGTGGACCAGCCCATGCACAGGTACACACATGCACACACTACACACTGCACACACTTATGTACATGCACGCATGCACATACATCTGCACACTGGTATGTACATGCGTGCATGTGCATGCATACAGACATGTGCACACACATGCATGCTGGTATGTACATGCATACACAAATTTGCATGCGCACGTGCACACTGGCATGGACATGCATGCACTTACACACATGTACATGCACAGTGCCCCATTCCATGGCAGATGGAAAGCACGTGCACACATGTATGTGCCCACATGTGCGCACTGGAGGTGACAGGACAGGAGCAGCTCCCTCTGCCCCGCTCCGTGCCAGCCCCATGCCAGTCAGACACCCCCAAGGACACGGGAGAGACCTTGCCCAGCCCGTGCTCCCTGCCAGCCCAGAGCCAGGGGCAGCCCCGGTCGCACCAGCCTGGCCCCGGCCCCGCACCCACGGGAGGGCACCGTGCCCAGCGATGCCAGCCCAAGGCTGCCTGCTCTGCGCCGGAGGGAAGCAGGGAGGGAGGCGCCACCGGGGCTGGGCCAAGCTGCCTGCAGGGCCTAAAAAGGCAACGATTCCCCGGCTCTGGCTCCGGCCCCAGCCCTCGCCCGGCCGCCGGTTCGAGGCCAGGCCCCACGCCATCGTGCCGGGGCCCGGGGTGCCCTCCTCCACACCCAGAAGGGAGTGAGGGTCCAGGCAGGGCACGACTTCCCAAGGGGAGCCTTCAACGCCGCCTCGACGTTGGCCTTGACCGAGCAGGTGCTGCGGCCAAAGCAGGAAGTTCCACCTCCGGGAGGCGGGACTTCCTGAAGTGCCCCTTGGCCTGGGACCCGGTCCCGGGACAGCCGAAGACGCCCCAGCCTGGAGCACCCTGGGCCGGGGACGTGCCAGCGACACCCAAACCCGGCACGGGACAAGAGCATCGTCCCCGCCCGGCCACCATCCCAGTTCTCCCAGTCCCGATGCAAAACCAGAGCCTTCACCGGCAACGCGGTGCCCCGGGCGGACGCTGCAGCCACATCCCGACCAGGCCGTGGGGTTCTGTCCCAAACCTGGGACCCTCCCAACCCCCACGTCCGCCAGCAGAGACCCCGGGGCAGGCACCCAGACCAGCCCAGGGACCCTGCATCGGCCCCGGGCAGCTCCCGCACGCGGGGCTGGGGCCAGAGCTGCCCCCGAGCCGTGACTCAGTGCTGCCGCGTGGGGGTGACAACGCCGTCCCGGGGGTCCCCGCCCAGCAGCGAGCGGCTGAGTCACGGGGGCCCCGATCCTTGACCAACGCCAGGGACAACGCCCGGTGCTGACGGGGGGAGCAGCTACGAGCGGGGTGGGGGACGTGGCTCCGGCTGCCTTTGCCTTTATTAGGAGACGCCGCCGGGGCCTTGAGTCCGGAGCCGCCCCCAGCCGGGGGCGGGGGGACGTCAACACATGGGGCCGCGGCGTTGGAGCTGCCCAAGCCCCCTTCGGCCTCCCCACCCCAGCCACAGCTGCATGCACTCCCTTCACACCCCCAGCAAATGGGGACAGTGCCCTGCGGGTCGGGGCTGAGACCCTCCCAACTCATTGCATGCCTGGAGGCCGCTCCCTTGCCCTGGGGGGGGGCCACAGCTGCAGCTCCCCATGCCCCCGGGGCTGCTTTCCTGCCTCTTCCTCCAGGAACAGGGCAGAAAACAGCTGCGCGGAGCTGGCCCTGGACCCCGGCCGGGCCTGGCCCTGCCCTTCCCTGCTCCTGGGGGGGCCCAGCAAGCAGCTCCTGGCACCAGGCACTCATTAACCCGGGTGAGCTATTGCTGCCCCCACCAAGCTGGGAGAGGCGGGCGCCCCCCAGGTGGGGGGCATGGGGCCACGGCTTAACCCTTAGCTGGCCCCCGGCATGGGGGGGACCAGACCCACCAATTGGATGATGTCAGGGAGGGGGGTGGGAGCTGGAGGGGGGCAAAGGTCTGGGAAAAACACTGTTGCTTCCGAGGGATTTCCGCTCCCCCGGCTCAGAGCAGCCCCTGGGGGCCGTGCACACGCGTGTGCATGTGTGCATGCATGCACGCACATATGCGGCGCCTACTCCCCGGGGTGCACCGAGGCACCGGCAGGGGCAGAGGCACAGCCCCACTGTCCTCCCCCCCACTCTCCCAGTGCCAGCTGCACCCGCCTGCTGGCAACGGGGCCCCCCACCCTCCCCAGCCCAGACCCCATGGTGAGGGGCACCCTGGAGGGACACCCGCCTCACCAAGGCCACGGAAGATGCTGGCAGCAGGGCGGCCCTGAGCCCCGCCAGCCCACATCCAGGTACTGCCGGAGGGGTTTGGGCACCCTCCTGGCCAAACAGGCCTCTCCCTGCTGCCGACGCAGCCCCCCTGCCCCGCGACACTGCCCCCCGCCACCGCGGCCTCCGACCTGCTTCATGACACTGGCGAAGTCCATGGGGCTCTAGCGCCCGCAGCCGGGCAGCTCCATGCGACGAGGCCGGGGCGTGGGAGCGGCGGGGGGGGGGGCGGGCGGGGGGGGGGGGGGC